AACATCTCTCTAAAATTTTATCGCATTGTAATAATGTAGAGGAGCGCATACGGAAATTATTTTTTTTTAAGCTCCTAATGTACGGAAAAAAACACGAATTTGGGGCGATTGCCAAAAAAAAAACGGAATATTTTAGTAGAGTTATAATGGCTTAGAAAAATGCTCTGGCTTGGACAACAACTCACCTCAGTTTTATCGCAAGCGCTTGAATGATGTAGGAGCGCATGCGGTTTAAAATTATATTTATATAGCTCATTTTGTAAGAAACAAACATAGGGCCCCTGGCTCAACACTGAATATTTTAAAACGGTTATAGTAATTTAAGAACCTTTGTGGGCGATAGAACAACATGTCACTAAATTTTTATCTGAATTTCTGAAAAATGGTATAGGAAAGTTATTTTTTACAAAGCGCATATAAGAAAAAATAAGAATTTGGGTCAACGGCCCAAAACGGAATATTTTGAAAGTGTTGTAATGAATGGTTATGTTTATAGATAACAACTCGTTAAAGTTTTGTCGCAATCGCGTTAATGGTGCAGGAGCGCATACGGTTTGAATTTATATTTATATTGCTCGTATAAGAAAAAAACGTAAATAAGGCCGCTGGCTAAAATTGGAATATTTTGAAAAGTTTATATCAATTTAAAAACCTCTGCGGCCGTGCTTCAACATCTCACCAAAGTTTTACGTTTTATTGCAATCGGATAAATGGCGTAGGAGTGCATATGAAAATTCTTTTTTACAAAGCTCATATTAGAAAAAATACGAATTAAGGGCCAACGGCCGAAAACAGAATGTTTTTAAAAGTGTTTAAATAACACAGTAAAATGCACTGGCGCATGGACAACAACTCACCAAGTTGTGTAGCAATCGCATGATTGGTGTAGGAGCGCATACGGTTTGAAAATATATTTATATAGCTCATATAAGGAAAAACGAATATGAGGGCCCTGGCTCAAAAATGAATACTTTAAAACGGTTGTAATTATTTAGAAACCTTTATAGAAAAGCTTGCAACATGTCACCAAGGTTTTATCGGAATCGGATAAATGGCGTAGGAGCGCATATGAAAATTATTTTGTACAAAGCTCATATAAGAAAAAATACGAATTAAGGGCCAAAAGCCGAAAACAGAATGTTTTTAAAAGTGTTTAAATAACACAGTAAAATGCACTGGCGCATGAACAACAACTCACTAAGTTTTGTAGCAATCGCATGATTGGTGTAGGAGCGCATACGAGACATACAGACAGACATACATACAAACATTCATTTTTATATTTATATACTAGCGAGTACCCGGCATGCGTTGCAATGCCACTCACAGAAAGAAAGTGTTTGCATGTTAATTATGTTTCTTCAAGAGCTTTTGAATACTCAAAGTTTTTCTTGTTTTGCCATCTGGTATATACACGAATAAATCAGAAGATTTTCCGACGCGAGAGCAGGCCACATACATCTGTCCATGGGCGAAGCATGGGTTTTCCAAATTTAGTCCGCAAACTTGTAGCGATTGTCCCTGTGCTTTGTAGATAGTCATTGTAGACGCGTGTCGCATCGGAAACTGTAGGCGTTTGAATTCAAAGGGCATATCTGTTGCAATCATTGGGGTGAATGGCAAAAGTACATCACCTAGTTTAAATTTTCCATTTAAAATAGTAACTTCAATGGAACCAATTTCGGAATATTCATTTGAAAAAATATGAATAGTATTTCATGGCACTGTCTTTCTTATTCGAATTTCTCAATTTGATGTCAAAATGATATCCATCTTCTCCTTGCCAAAATAAAATAGGATATTGCAATCAAACGTATGAGCGATGAGTTTCTGAGACTCGCTGAACATCAACACTTCTGCGATGAAGAATTATATCACTTGAGTTAAATTCTTTGCCAACTATAATGATCGCCACTTCATCAATTGTTGGTGCATTGTATTGTCTTTCATGTTGGCCGACAGGTCTGCTCTAACTATGACTTTGTATTCATCAGTCGGCATCTTTTCAAGTGCAACTCTATACATTTGAATTAATTCGTTGTGTTGCAAAAATAACGTTTGCATTGCAGCGACAATTTCTCGTTTAGTGACCGTATTGATATGACAACGCTGATCGATTTGCTCATCAGTATTCCCCATGATATCATTTGAAGACATTTGTGATCTGTCTTTGGCATTGGCATCAGAGATCCTACACGATGGTAAATTTAGCCTTTCACTTTACTTTAAATGTTGGCATGTAATTCTCGCGCACGATATTTGTTGCACCGAACGATGTCATTTGGAAACATGAATTGCATTTGCGTATGTTTGCCAAGAAATGTTTCGATTGGCTATTGTCACCTGATACCAACAATGATAATGGTTTTGATGGTGAATGTAATTCTCACACGTTAGGATCTCCCATCTTTTTACATGAAAACCTCGCACAATATGTACGTTCATTGTTGGCAGGAGATTTCCAGTTGTATAGTTTCTCATTAATTTATAAATCGTAAATTCCAGAGGTAAAAAATGACCATAGTTCAATATCTACGCTGTCAAGTGTGTTATTTAATTACTTGAGAAACCATCGATTGGTGTAAAATGTATTTACATAACACAAAACAACTCCGAAATTATAAGACTCTATTCAAGAAATACTCTTAGTTGAAAAAAAAAACGCGATTTCGATGTCATTTCCGATTCTAAAATGCGTCACAAAATTCAAGCTTATTTATACACATAACAAAAATACTCTCTACACTAAAAATGTAAAAACGTGTTTTCTCTGCTTTACTACAAATGTGTCATTTGTTCAAGGGCGGTAGTGTTGATATCTTCGTTATAAATTATATTGATGAAGCTCATTTAAGAAATAAATTGAATTTAGGGTCCCCAGCCCTAATTGGAATATTGTACAATGGATGTACTAAATTTGAAAAATTTGCCGGCGGATTCAGCTACTTCCACACATGCAATAGCTCTGTTTGAAATTATAGTTACAAAGCTCTTAGAAGAAAATATGAAATTAGGGTCACTGGCCCAAACGGAATATTGTAAAATGTTTTTTTCTAATTTAGAAACATTTTCGGTAGTGCGCATTTCACTTGACCCAGTTTGATCACAATCGAATGAATGGTATAGAAATGCATACTATAATTATATAGATAATAGAAGTGTGGAAAACGAATTTAGGACCCCCCTCCACAAATGGAATATTGTAGAATTGTTGTATTACTTCAGAAACCTACTTAATATGTCACACACTCAATTTAATATCACTATTTGTATTTGATTAAAAAGCTATCCATTCATGCTTTAGCTCTGTTTGAAATTATAGTTGTATAGCTTAAAATTATAGTTGTATAGCTTATATAGAAAAAACGAACATAGGACCCCTGGCTAAAAACGGAGTATTTTAAAATGGTTGTAATAATTTAAGAAACCTTTGTGGGCGGGCGCGCGCACAACATCTCTCTAAAATTTTATCGCATTGTAATAATGTAGAGGAGCGCATACGGAAATTATTTTTTTTTAAGCTCCTAATGTACGGAAAAAAACACGAATTTGGGGCGATTGCCAAAAAAAAAACGGAATATTTTAGTAGAGTTATAATGGCTTAGAAAAATGCTCTGGCTTGGACAACAACTCACCTCAGTTTTATCGCAAGCGCTTGAATGATGTAGGAGCGCATGCGGTTTAAAATTATATTTATATAGCTCATTTTGTAAGAAACAAACATAGGGCCCCTGGCTCAACACTGAATATTTTAAAACGGTTATAGTAATTTAAGAACCTTTGTGGGCGATAGAACAACATGTCACTAAATTTTTATCTGAATTTCTGAAAAATGGTATAGGAAAGTTATTTTTTACAAAGCGCATATAAGAAAAAATAAGAATTTGGGTCAACGGCCCAAAACGGAATATTTTGAAAGTGTTGTAATGAATGGTTATGTTTATAGATAACAACTCGTTAAAGTTTTGTCGCAATCGCGTTAATGGTGCAGGAGCGCATACGGTTTGAATTTATATTTATATTGCTCGTATAAGAAAAAAACGTAAATAAGGCCGCTGGCTAAAATTGGAATATTTTGAAAAGTTTATATCAATTTAAAAACCTCTGCGGCCGTGCTTCAACATCTCACCAAAGTTTTACGTTTTATTGCAATCGGATAAATGGCGTAGGAGTGCATATGAAAATTCTTTTTTACAAAGCTCATATTAGAAAAAATACGAATTAAGGGCCAACGGCCGAAAACAGAATGTTTTTAAAAGTGTTTAAATAACACAGTAAAATGCACTGGCGCATGGACAACAACTCACCAAGTTGTGTAGCAATCGCTTGATTGGTGTAGGAGCGCATACGCTTTGAAAATATATTTATATAGCTCATATAAGGAAAAACGAATGTGAGGCCCCTGGCTCAAAATTGAATAATTTAAAACGATTGTAATAATTTAGAAATGTTTATAGACATGCTCGCAACATTTCACCAAAGTTTTATATGAATCGGATAAATGGCGTAGGAGAACATGTGGAAAATATTTTACAAAGCTCATATTAGTAAAAAAACGAATTAAGGGCCAACGGCTAGAAACGAAACACTTTATAAGGTTTTTAATGACTCAGTTAAATGGCCGGTTATGTGGAAAATAACTGTTTAAAGTTTTGTTGCAATCGCATGAATGGTGTAGGAGCGCATACGAGACATACAGACAGACAGACATACAAACATTCATTTTTATATATATAGAAGATATAGATGGTTGCTTATTTGTTTTATATTTTATTTAAAAGTGGTTTTTATTGCTACAAATTTCACCCTATCTTTTTGTTGAATTGATGGATTGTATTAACATAAAGAAATACTAATTTGTAATGTATGTTGGATGAAACATGTTTTCTGCAAGAATAAATAATATATCATTTGCAATAAGAAAAAAAATATACATAAATATTACAGAAAGTATAATATTAAAGAATATCTGATGAAATGATGTGAGAATAAAATATTACCTATTTCACACGCTGTTTTAGCTGTGTTTAACTGGTAACCTGCACTGCATATACAGATCTTTTCGGCGGGGCATGTGCCTGTGTACTCAGGAGCTGGACACTCTGTATTTGACGCACACGTTTTTCCTTCCACTGTAGTTAATTGAGAGAAAATAAATCTGTTACTACTTTCTCAATGAGATACATTTCAGTTATTCGCCATGAATTGCAATGATTATTTTTTAAGGTAAAACAAATGCTGGTTAACCACCACCAGTTTTCATTTTCATGACCCTTATATTTTCACCCTCAGGAATTTGCGCTTTACGGGACTCCAACTCCAGGTTGAATTCAGAGTTTCCTTTTCTTAGAAGAGTTGCCGACCAACATTAACGAGTCTCATCCACCCGGGGTGATGTTTTTGCTTGACTTGCCTTTGGCTGGACTTGAACACCAGACCACCAACTTGAGGTTTGCTCAGTTTAGACCATTTGGCCACCCAGCCGATGACAATTCCTGCAACCGAACCCATCCCTAGTCGTCTTGACGTAGAGTCTTGCCTCTGGATACGGTGAACTCGGACGAGAGAGTGAGGTAGACGCCACGCAATTCTTCTTCACTTTAAATAAAGTCATCCGCGCAAGTCAACAGTCACCTGACGATCCTCGACGGACGAACAATATAGATTTTCACCCTGAAAACCCCAATAGTTTACATTAGCACTCCATTTTTGGACCCTATCCTATACCACTATTGCCTCGCATTATCGTTTATTTCTCTATTTCTATCTCGTTCTCTCTGTCTGTCTCTCTCTCTCTCTCTCTTTCTCTCTCTCTCTCTCTCTCTCTCTCTCTCTCTACTCTAAGTTTGAAGTTCCTAAGGCTCGTTCTCAGGTGTAAATAAAAATGTATTTGAATTCCATGCATAAATATTGTATTTAACATGCTGTCGAAAAACGACAATTAGGACTGATTTATTGACTTTCAAACTAAATTTGTATTGTGATTATAGAAGTAATAATATAGTCACTACAGAATATTCGAATAAAAGATTAGGATAATCTCATCTTACTTTGTCCAAAGACTTTACTTGCTGTATTGGTCTTTAATAGGCTCGTCTTATTTCGTTTCAGTTATTAATACAGCAATAATATTTCACTAGAACTCAAATACTGAAAGAACCTGAGGGCGAGGATTCATACAAATTTCTCAAGGTTTATCACATGATCTCTAAATTTTTTGCTCAGAATAATGTCCTAAAATACAGGGATTTCACCTCACCCAACTGAATTTTTTTGAACACTTTTTATGGGAAGAGAAACCGTGTTGAAAAGTTAACATTGAAGAAGTCGTTGTTCTTTCAAAAAATTGCTTGATTTCCTCACCCTTTTTTTAAAAAAATAGTAGTTTTACTTTCATGTATAAGTTCTCTGAAAATATATCGCTGTATTGTACCCAGTACTTTGAGTGCCATCCAGATAGTGTGAAGGCTATTATTTTTTTTATGCCATAATTCTTATAGAACATTACAAATAAAAAGATTTCTTCTTAGTGGGGTCTTCACCTTTTAGTTACTTTGACGTTTGGTAGATTGATACTTTATGTTATTTGTGAATATGATGCTTTTGATAAAAAGGCCGTAGTCAATAAATAACAAATATAGTTTGAGTCACACTACCTTCCCGACTTTCCTTCCCCTAAATGATTGCATAGTTAATTAGATTACAATGCATTGTGCGATGATGTATCGAAAATTGCGATTACAAGGCAGGGAGAATATTTTATTTGCAGTTGTGGTCATTAGTTAAAATAATATATGCTATATCATTATGAAGCGCCATATATTTGTATGCAGAAGTCTAAAGAGTTCCCTAAGAGCACACAATTTACAATTTGATGCAAGACTACACACCACATTTATGAAAGAAATAGCAGTGGTGGGTGGAAGTTCAAAAGTCATTATTAGGCAAGAGTTAAAAATAAATATAATTGCATTACGTGAATGTATTAGTAAAATATTTTGATTTAGCTTTAAACATAGAAAACCTCAACCACTATATGTCAAATTGGAAATTATTTATCATCCTTTGAATAGTCAGATACTCTGCCAAAACAGTCAGAAACATAGTCGGAGAGAAGTCAGAACAGGCATAAGAGTAAAAGACAACAGGGAGGCTCTTTACCTCATATAGTTGAAAGTTTAAAAAAAAAAGATTTTATGTCTACAACTTTGCATTATATGAATATTAAAATTTAGAAGTACGTTCATGATTTTTAATGTCATTTAGCGTATTTTACATTGATTTTCTATTTTATTGCATGATGTAAATTAAGAAAGTATGTTTATACATTCACTATAATTGATGATTCGTTTCCTTGTAGTGAACGTCGTAAAGTTTTACTTTTGTGTTGATGCATGATTGATACATCAATTAGTAAGAGTAGTGGACAAGCGTTGCTTTTCCTGCTACCATTTTTTTTCTTTCTTTTATTGTGTTGACTAATTTTATTAATATAAGGCTGTAATGTTTATGAAATCAATAAATATTTAAAGTAAATGTCTTTGAAATGTATATTTTATTAAACATGCTTTCTGAAAAGCATAAATGGTATATCATTTGGTATAAGAAAAGATATTTATAAATATTACAGGAAGTATAACATAGAAAAATATTCTGACTAAATTTTGTAATAATCAGATCTTACATTTTTCACAAGCTGTTTTAGCTGTGTTTAAATGGTAACCTGCACTGCATACACAGATCTTTTCGGCGGGGCATGTGCCTGTGTACTCAGGTGTTGCGCAATCTGTATTTGACTGGCAACTTTTTCCTTCCGCTGTAGCAAATTGAAAAGAAAAAATACGTTAATACTTTGTCAATAAGATTAATTTCAGGTTTATTAAAAGTGACTGAAGTTATAAGCGATAAATTGCAATTATTTTTTAACTGCTAAAACTAAGGATGGTAAACGAAAACTGGTTTTTATTTTAATGACACTAATATTTCCACCTTTACAAACCATCATCTTTTACATTAACACTCCCATCACTGCACCTTATCTTATACCACAATAGCCTCTCACTCACACTCTTTCTATATTACTCTCTCACTCTGTCTCTCTCTCTTTCTTTCTTTCTTTCTCTCAATCTTTATCTCTTTCTCTATCTCTCACTTCTAAGGCTTCATCTAAATTGTAAATGAAAATGTATTACAATTCCTTGCATAAATACTGTATCTAACATGCAATCGGAAAACTCTAATTAGGACAGATTTTATTGACTTTAAAACAAAAGTTGTATTTGTTGAAAAATTATGATATCCGGATAGCAACTTGGAATGTACCTAGTTTATACAGAGCAGATGCCTTGGCCCGCGACAGTGACGAATTTTTAAGTTATAGAATCTTGATTTGCAGCATTGCAGGAGATTTGATCGAAAGACTCAGATATGCTAAATACTAAGGAATATAAAATATTATTCAGCGGAAACAACACAAACACCTTTAGAACAAGGCTTGCGATCAAAAGAGAGACAGTAAATGCAGTCATTTGGTTTAAACCAGTGAGTGAAAGATTATGCTCCATAAGGATTAGAGGAAAAATGTTTAACATCACGTTAATCTGCACACATGCTCCAACAGAAGATACAGATGAAAGCATGAAGGAAACTTTCTACGAAACACTGGAAAGACTATTTGATGAGGCTCCACGCCATGATATCAAAATAGTCCTTGGCGATTTCAATGCGAAAATTGGGAAAGAACTAGTCTACAGACCAATAATCAGAAAGGAAAGTCTGCATAATAAGATCAATGACAACGGAAAACGTCTTATAGACTTTGATATTGGAAAAAGAATAACAATCAGTAGCACAGTATTCCAACATAAACAAATAAATAAGCGACATGGATATCTCCAGATGGATTTACCCGTAATCAAATTGACCACGTACTCATCGACCGGAAATAAGGCTAGGACATTTTAGATGTGCAAAGTTGTAAAGGGGCTGACATAGACTCAGACCACATACTTTTTAGAATCAAATATAAACAAATAATTTGTAACATCCACAATAAACATAATAAAGAGAAAAACAGTACAATAGTCAGAAATTGAGTAAGGGCCCAAAAAATTCTGAGAAATATCAACAGAAGATGGAAAAATACAATAGAATTATCCAGAAGAAAATCAGCCAGTAACGTTGATATAAACATGCAATTGGAAACGATGAAGCAAATAGTTAAAATTGTAAAATAGGAAATGATTTGATTTATACCGATAGTGAAAATAACAGGATGGTATGATACAGAATGCAAAGAACTTATAGATAAAAGAAACAAAGCTCGGCTAATGATGCTGCAAAAGGAGACAAGAATAACACGGCAATTATAAATATAGCAAGAATGGTGGGCTGCAAAATTTGCAGAAAAAAAAAAACGTGTTTGGGAAAAATTTAAAATAGTAGATATAGAAGAGTATCCAAAAAAAGAAAGAGGTGTGAGTGGAATGTACATGAAGATGAAGCAGGGAAATAACGGATTTTCAAGCAAGATCCAACATATGTGAAAGTATGGATGGAGAATTGATCACAGAGAGCAGTAGATTATTAGAGAGATTGGCACAACACTTTGAAGGCTTACTGAATGGCTCAGGTGGAGGAAAAAATGAGGATAACACTCCGCTACAAGGAGGACCGGACCCACCGGACAACCAACCAACATTAAATGAAATAAAATGTAATCTCCAGCATGAAAAAAAGCCCCATCAATAGACCTCATTTCTGCAGAACTGATAAAGCTACGTGGTAACGAACTGCATAGGCAAATACACAAACTTACATCTAGAATCTGGCAGGACGAAGAAATGCCAATTGAATGGGTCACGACACTCATAATCCCCATTCACAAAAAAGGATCTAAGTTGATCTGCTAAAACTATAGAGGAACCTCTCTTCTTAATGTATTGTACACAATCCTTACAAAACTTATAGCGAGAAAACTGAAAAAGTATATTGAACAGATCCTAGAGGACTATCAATGTGGGTTCCAATGGAATAGGTCAACCACGGATCATATTTTTTCTATAAGATGTCTCCTGGAGAAATGTTACGAATATAACATCGACATACAACAACGATATGTGGAGTACAAAACAGCATACGATAGCGTAAACAAGAAGTAACAAGCTTACTCGGCTCATACATATGACAATGGCCAACTCCAAAAGTGGAATCAAGGTGCAGGGAGAATACTCAAGGGAGTTCCCATTTAATCGGGCCATCAGACAAGGAGACCCACTAATCATGTATTCTGTTTAACATTACGCTAGAAAATGTTATTAGGAGCATACACGTGAGCACCAGTGGAACCATAACAAATTACTTCCAGGGAGATAGTACAGTACAACGACCATCAGGGACCTTATATAGCCAACCATTGCAGTACCATGCATATGCAGACGATATAGCGCTACAAGGTAGAATGACATAATTTAATCATTCAAGGAACTTAAGAATGCCTCAGTCAAAGCTGGTCGTGATATAAATGAACTGAAGACAAAATATATGATATTGTCAAGAAATTCCCATACGGATGATACATTCAAAATAAACAACCACAAATTTGAGAGAGTGGCTACATTCAAATATTTAGGGGCAACTATACACGAGCACAATGAGATAATGTTGGAGGTTAAAGAAAGGATAATTGCAGGCAACCTCACCTATTTCAGCCTACAAAAGCTACTGGGAAAAACAAACTTAATTGGTTCCTCAAGGGGACAAGAAAGTCAATATACACCACTACCATAAGACCAGTAGTAACGTACGCTAGCGAGACCTGGATCCTTAACAGAAAAGCATAGACCCCTCAACATAAGGGAGAGGAGAATCCTCCAAAAAATATACGGTCCACTAAGAGAAAATGATGTCTGGAGAATCCGTACAAACCAAAAACTTGTTCAAAGACCCATTCATAGTCAGAATGATAAAAGCAGGCAGACTAAGCCTGTGACCATGTTGTACATGTGGAGGACAGACGCGTTGCCAGTGAACAATGTGGGCAATGGTTCCATCGTCAATGCCAAAGCATCGACACTTCTAATTACAACCAACATGCTAAAAATTCTGACGTGCCATGGCACTGTACTGTCTGCGGCTGCCAGATTAACCAGTCTGTGTTTGACCCACATAGTGCAGGGACAGACTCTACCTTCCCAGATTTCTCTCTGAACCACTCAATCTCCACACCAAGAGACATTCGAAGTTTTCAACCACCACACTGCTCTACTCCTATGCGCTGCAGTCAACAAGACAAATGGAGACACAGGCCATTGCGCATATTAAATGTAAACTTCCAGTCTGCAAGTGGTAAGCGAGTAGCGATAGCTAACCTAATTAACAGCCCAAAACCCGACATCATCTTGGGCACAGAAACATGGCTGAATCCCTCCATAGCAAACGCAGAGGTTGTACCAGATATATACAAAGTATTTCGTCGAGACAGAAAAGACAGAGGAGGAGGAGTGCTTGTTGCAGTCCATCACAACTTGGACTGCCACGCTGTTCCAGAACTCGATGTTGACGACTGCGAGATCCTGTGGGTAAAATTGAAACTAAAGGGTAGACGCACACTCTACGTGTGTGCCTATTATCGACCAAATACAGCAGATGAACCAAGCCTGAGGAGGTTCGAGGTATCGCTTCACAGAGCAACACAGTCAAAAAACGCTTTTCTCCTTATAGGGGGGGATTTTAACTTTCCTGGTTGGAATTGGCAGATTCCTGCCTTGAAGCCCAAGTCCCCATACCCTGTTCTACACTCAGAATTCATGGAGATAATTAACAACCATGGTCTGGAACAGCTGGTTAAAGAACCCACGAGGGGGGAAAACACTCTTGACCTACTCCTCACCAATTGTCCACATCGTGTCCAAAAAGTTGAGGTCATCCCCGGGATTTCGGACCACAGCATTCCTTATTGTGAATTTCAGGTCAACACACTAAAAATGAAACAAATCATTCGAGAAATCCCAATTTATGCCAAGGCAGACTGGGATGGCCTAAGGATTGCAACCACAGAGCTAAGCTCAAACATGAAGGTGATTCAAGGTACAGCGACAACAGACGAGCTGTGGGTGAAGTTCAAGACTACAATCACTGATGCAGTGAAGAAATTTATACCACACCAAATCACCAAACCTAGGATAAATCAGCCATGGGTCACGGCTGAAATCCGTAGGCTCATCCACAGGAGAGACCGCCAATACAAACGCATGAAGAAAAATGGCTCGATGGAACTGAGAGAGGAGGTACTGAGACTCCGCCGAACCATTCAACGCTTATTGCGTAGATCGTATTGGAACTACATGAACGGCATCTTCTCAGAGGAAGACACCCCGACCAAAGATGTCAAGAACAAGCGCTTCTGGAGCTATGTGAAACACCAAAAGTCCTCAAACGCTGGAGTTTCCCCCTTGAGGTGGGATGGCCAATTGACATCTGACCCAAAAGCACAGGCGGAGATACTCAATCAGCAGTTCCAGTCGGTCTTTGGTGACGGTAGAGAGTACTCTGAGACTGAGTTCCTTCTGAAGACCAAAATGATGAACAGAGCCTATCCTATCATGGGAGATATCCAGATATCAGAACAAGGTGTGTTTGCCCTCCTCAATACCATTAACCCTTACAAAGCATGTGGTCCTGACAACATTAAACCACGAGTGCTCAAAGAATTAGCCAAAGAAATCGCTCCTGCACTGACAATCCTCTTCCAATCGTCACTATGCACAGGAAATGTTCCAGCAGACTGGAGGACAGCGCATGTCACTCCAATTTACAAGAAAGGGGAGCATTCCGACCCTGCCAACTATCGTCCGATATCCCTCACTAGCGTCGTCTGCAAATTGTTGGAGCACATAATCGTAAGCTCTGTCATGAAGCATCTTGAAAGCCAAAATATACTCAATGACTGTCAACATGGCTTCCGAGTCAATAGGTCATGTGAGACCCAGCTTCTCGAATTTGTAGAAGACTTGATGACCAATCTGAAGAACCACAAGCAGACTGACGTGCTAGTAATGGACTTCGCAAAAGTATTTGACCGGGTGAATCATAGTTTGCTTCTACACAAACTCCAGATCTATGGGATTCAAGGCACCACTAAAACATGGATCTCTAGCTTCCTCAGCAACCGACGCCAAGCAGTAGTGGTGGGCGGTACAAGCTCCTCCTTTGTTAATGTGAAGTCAGGGGTCCCCCAGGGATCAGTCCTGGGCCCCTGTTTGTTCCTAGCATACATTAATGACCTACCGGAGAAACTGACATCACAGGCAAGACTGTTCGCAGAAGACACAGGAGTGTATAGGACGATCGCCAACAGATCTGATCAGGACCAGCTACAACAGGATCTCAATCTGTTAGCTGAGTGGGAGATGAGCTGGGACATGGAATTTCACCCTGCCAAGTGCCAGAAACTATCAATCTCTAGAAGTTGTACTCCTCTACACCACCAATACGAACTGCACGGCCATATACTTGAGCAAGTTTCCTCCGTAAAGTACATGGGTGTTACCATTCAAAGAGAGGTCCGCTGGGACGAGCATATTAACAATGTATGTAACCAAGCAAACCAAGCCCTGGGGTTCTTAAGGCGAAATCTAAAGATTGGCAACTCCTGTGTGAAAGAAAGAGCATATAAAGCCTTTATCCGTCCGATTTTAGATTATGCATCTTCAGTCTGGGACCCATTTACCCAGAAGAGCATTGACAGGTTGGAGGCGGTCCAGCGACGAGCAGCACGCTTTGTCCTAAACCGCTACAGGAATACCTCTAGTGTTGGCAGCATGCTAGAAACACTAGGCTGGTCACCATTGGAGAAACGACGACGACAATCCAGGCTCTCCATGATGTACAAGATAAATAATGGGCTGGTCCACTGTTCCAGTATTAAACAGAAACTCGTCCCTCTCCCCCATAGACAGCGACGAGGCCATGACAGGCAATTCAGGCTCATACCAGCAAGAAGCCAGTATAGGAGCTGCTCATTCCTGCCCAAGACAATCAGGGACTGGAACCATCTTTCAAAAGGAACAGTTGAGGCGACAACACTAGACGCATTTGTGTCTATTGCCTCAAGCCTTCAAACCCCTAGTGCATAATTTCCTCATCACCACCAGTAACAGAAACATTGCAAATCCCATCTACATGCATAGGAGCCAAAATGATCAATAAATTGATCGTGGGCCCTTAAGATATAGAAGAAGAAGAAGCTCGGCAGGACATGTTGAAAGGTTGCCTGAATGTAGAGCGGAAAAGTTAATGACAGGCCGAAGCCTAGGGGCAGAAGAATCACCGGTCACCCAAGGCTGAGATGGATAGACGATGTGGAGACGGATTTTACATCAGTTGGGGGTTCGCGCATGGAGGTGGAAAGCTATGATTCGCTCTGAATTGAAGGATGTGGTAGAACCAGCCAGGGCCCTATATGGGCTGTAGCGCCACTGATAATGATGATGATTTTTACTTGATCACTTTAGCCTTTTGTTCAACATCATGTCCTGAATTACAGGGATCTTTCACCTCACCAAACTGTGAATAGTTTTGTTTTTAATTTTATGGGAAGAGAAACCGTTTTGGAATGTTAACATTAAAGAAGACGTTGTTTTTCCTAAATAAATCTGCTTAATTCCATCATTTTTTTCATATAAGTTCCCAGAAAATATATCGCTGTATAGTACACCTGTACTTTGAATGCCAGCCAGATAGTTTGAAAGCTTAGATATTTTTGATGCCATAATTCTTATAGAACATTACAAATAAAAAGATTTCTTCTTAGTGGGGTTTTAACCTTTAGTTACTTTGACGTTTGGTAGATTGATACTTTATGTTATTTGTGAATTTGATGCTTTTGATAAAAAGCCGTAGTTTGAGTCACTCTACCTTCCCGTCTTTCCTTCCCCTAAATGATTGCATAGTTAATAAGATTACAAAGCATTGTGCGATGATGTATCAAAAATTGTAATGACAGGGGAGGGCAATTACTGTATTTGTGGTTGTGGTTATTAGTTAAAATAATATATACTATATCATTATGAAGCGCCTCGTGCGGAGATACTGATCTCCCATCGAGCGCCTCCCCAGGTGGTGGATAGGGGAAAGACCACCAGATATAGAGGGTACCAGGGAAATAAAATACCTGGGGTGGACCAAGATCAGAAACTACTGCCTTGTAGGAAGAGGAAGGAATCCACAAAGGCTAGGGAACCTTACCTAAAAACTTAGGCAGCTATCCAGGGAGCTGTAAGGGGCAACCCTACAGACGGTTGTGCGCAGGGTTAACAACCCGGCCACGTAAAAAATCAACGTTACGAAATACAAGCAAAAGAACAAAACCCAGACTGATACCAATGGAAATCGACCTATGCATTGATATGGATATGATTTTTGGATTGCGACTTGGAATGTACTAAGCCTGTTTAGAGCAGAAGCCTTAACCAACCTTGTAAATCAGCTGGTAAAAAAAATGTATTGCTGCATTGCAAGAAATTCGATGGAAAAATACAGACATCCTTAAGACAAAAGAATACACCATATTTTATAGCGGTAGCAACACCAACACAATAGGAACAGGATTTGCCGTAAAAAAAGAAGCAGTCAGTGCAGTCATAAGGTTCAAAATAGAAAATGAAAGATTGTGTTCTTTGGGTGTGCGAGGAAAAATGTTCAATATAACATTAATAAATGTACATTCTCCAACGGAAGACACAGAAGATCAGGATAAAGAATCATTTTATGAGACACTGGAAGAAATCTACGAAGAGGCACCACGACATGATATTAAAATAGTGATTGGAGGCTTCAATGGCAAAATAGGAAAAGAAAAGGTGTTCATGCCAACTATTGGCAAGGAAAGCATGCACGAAGAATCCAATGACAATGTGATCCGACTCATAGACTTCGCGGTAGGAGAAGGGATGCCAGTTAGCAGCATCAAGTTTTCGCACATAAATATACATAAAGCTACGTGGAACTCACCAGATGGAATAGCCCGCAATCAAACCGATCATATTTTAATAGATCGAAGACATGGATCAGATATATTAGATGTGAGAAGCCTTAGAGGAGCAAATGTGGACTCGGACCATCTACTTGTAAGGATGAAATAAAGGCAGAGGATAAGATTAGTTTACAATGGTCGTAATCAAAGAGAGAAACGATACGATTACCAAAAGCTGCCCAAAGACCAGTTAACTGCAAAAGCTTACCAGAATGAAGTAGAAGCACAATTAAAAGCATCGCACCAGGAAATAAACTGGGAAAACAACATAAATGATCAGTGGGATAAGATTAAAAATGACATTAAAAGATCAGCAGTAAAGTAGTGAGATTTCAGTAAGCCAACAATAGAATAGGCTGGTACGACAATGAATGCAGAGAGACTGTTGAAGAAAGAAACAAAGCACGAAAGACCATGTTACAAAGGGAAACCAGAAAAACAACACAAATATACAAGGAAGCCAGAGGGAAATCAACAAAAATGTGTAGGAAGAAAAAGATAGAATGGGAAAAGGATAAATTAAAGGAAATAGAAGATTTATCAAGGAAGGGAAATATAAGAGGAATGTACATGAAGATAAAAGATGAAAAGAATGGATACCAAGACTGACCGCAAATGTGTGAGAGCCACAATGGAGAATTAATCAAGGAAAATAGTAAAGAACGGGAGAGGTGGGCTGAATATTTTGAGAACATACTAAATGCAGACAATAGACAAGAAGAAGATTTTCAACTCCAACAGGGAGTACCAGACCCTTTTATACAGTGCCCAACCCTAGAAGAAACCAAAGAGGTATTTATTTACGTGAAAAAATCACAAAGCCCCCGAACAAGACCTTATCACAGCAGAACTGATTAAATATGGAGGAAAAGAACTACACAATCAGATACAGAAACTTATAACTAAAATTTGGCAAGAAGAGAAAATCCCAACAGAATGGGAAACAGCATTAATAACCCCAATACATAAGAAAGGCCCCGAACTTCAGTGCACAAACTACAGAGCAATCTCCCTATTAAATGTTACATACAAAATACTTACGAAGCTTATTGCCAAAAGGCTACAACCTTGGACTGAAGAAATACTAGGTGATTGCCAATGTGGATTCAGGCCTAACAGATCAATGACTGATCAGATTTTCACCATCAAATGTCTATTTGAGAAATGCTATGAATTTAATATACCAGTACATCAACTCTATGTTGACTATAAAATGGCCTATGACAGCAAAAAAAGAAACTATTTATATGAGAATCTGCAGGAGTTTGGAATACCCAACAAACTGACAAGGCTAATACATGTACCACTAAACAACTCAAAAAGCAAAATCAAGATTCAAGGAGAATATTCAAGGGAATTTCATATTAGAAATTGTATACTCTTTAACCTAACATTAGTGCGAATTATTAGAAACATACACATTGGCACTCGAGGAACGATAACAGGATACTTTCTGAGGGAAACTCAAGACCCACAACTAACGGGCACACTCTACCACCAACCTCTTCATTATCTTGCATATACTGATGACATAGCACTTCTAGGGAAAAATTATAAAAGACATATCAAAATCCTTTATTGAATTAGAAGACGCATCTTTACAAGCAGGGCTGGAAGTTAACAACCAAAAAACAAAATACATGACCATGATAAGAGAGTAACAAACAGATGAAACAATTAAAATTAGAAACCAAACTTTTGAAAAAGTAAATCAATTCAAATACCTAGGATCATTTTTAAGTGAAAGAAACGAATTACTAACGGAAATAAAAGAAAGAATATCAGCCGGAAACGGGGCATACTTCAGCAGTCAGAAAATACTCAAAATTAAAATTATTACAAGAGAAACAAAGAAAACTATTTATAAAACACTGATCAGACCAGTTGTAACATATGCAAGTGAAACCTGGACTCTAACAAAAGCAGCAGAAAACCTATTAAACACATGGGAGAGGAAAGTTCTCAGGAAAATATATGGGCCACCAAAGGATGAAAATGGATGGAGAATACGAACTGACCAGGAATTATACAGTATATATCACGATCCCACGATAGTGGCAGAAAAAAATAGGCAGGCTACGCTGGGCAGGACACCTAGAGAGAATGCCAAATGACAGAGGAACGAAGAGGGTACATCACCAATACCCCAGAGGAAAAAGGCTCAAAGGCAAGACCTAGGCTTAGATGGGTAGATTATGATAAAAAAAAGATCTACAACAGCTGAAAGTCCAAGCATGGAAAAGAAAGGCATTAGTTAGGTCTGAGCGGAAGGAAGTGGTGAGGCAGGACAAAGCCCTACATGGGCTGTAGCGTCACAGGGATGGATGGATCATGAAGCGCCATATATTTGTATGCAGAGTTCTAGAGTTACCCAAGCGAACACAATTTAAAATTTGATGCAAGACTACACACCAGATTCATGAAAGAGATAGCAGTGGTGGGCGAAATTTCAAAAGTCATTATTAGGCAAGAGTGAAAATAAATATAATTGCATTACCTGAATTTATTAGTAAATTATTTTTATTTAGCTTTAAACATAGAAAATCTCAGCCACTATGTGTCAAAGTTGAAGTTATATATTATGCAATGAATAGTTAGATAGTCTACCAAAACAGGAACATAGTGGGAGAGAAGTCATAACAGGCATAAGAGTAAAAGACAACAGGGGGGCTCTTTACCTCATATTGTTTAATGTTTTTTGTTTAAAGATTTTATGTCTACAACTTTGCATTATATGAATATTAAAATATAGAAATACGTTCATGATTTTTAATGTCATTGAGCGTATTTTACATCGATTTTCTATTTTATTGCATGATGTAAATAATGAACGTATAATTTATACATTCACTATATTTTATGATTCGTTTCCTTGTAGTGAACGTCGTAAAGTTTTACTTTTGTGTTGTTGCATGAATGATACATCAATTAGTAAGAGTAGTGGACAAGCGTTGTGTTTGCAGCTACCAATTTTTTTCTTTCTTTTATTGTTTTGACTAATTGTATTAATATAAGGCTGTAATGTTTATGAAATCAATAAATATTTAAAGCATATATCTCTTTTAAATGTATATTGTATTAAACATGTTTTCTGAAAAGAATAAATAGTATATTATTTGCCATTAATATAAATATTACAGGAATTATAATATAGAAGAATATTTTGACAAAATTTTGTGATAATCAGATCTTACTTTTTTCACAAGCTGTTTTAGCTGTGTTTAACCGATAACCTGCACTGCATATACAGAACTTTTCGGTGGGGCATGTGCCTGTGTACTCAGGTGTTGGGCACTCTGTATTTGACTGGCAACCTTTTCCTTCCGCTGAAGCTTATTGAAAAGAAATTAATCAGTTAATACTTTGTCAATAAATTTAATTTCAGTATTAGTAAAAGTGACTCATGTTATAAGCCAAGAATGGCAATGACTTTTTAACCAGTTTCCGATTTATGTTTTTCTTAATAAAGGAAATTATAGTCGTAAAAATTTACCCCAAAAAATAAAAACTTATAGTCAGTTTATTTTTATGATTAATGAAATTAAAAAAAAAAAATTGTGATAAATAAGTATGCTAAATACCGATTGTTACAGGGTTTTTTTTTATGGGTTTTTGCGACCATTTTCTTTTCAATCTATGTTAACAAGTTGGCACATTGCAGTCTTTCATAATCCCAATCCCGAATTATTTATTTTTTTAAGTTAAAAGAAAATGAAATAGATAAAAAATAAAATGAAATGCCCTTCCCGGAAGTAAATAGTTCCCTCCGTCACTCTCCCTACAGCCATGTATAAAATAGAGGAAGAAGCTATATTTAGGCTTGAAATGAAAAGACAGAATGATTAAAAGATGATTTGGCTATTGGCCATTTTCAGCCGAAAATACAAAACATAACTCAACAAAAAAAAATTTTTTTTTTTAAATCATGTTTTGGATAATCCTATAAAGACGGAGATACATCAATGAACTGAACAAGTAAATACAATTAAACTAATATTTAAGGAACTGCATTGTATTCGTGTGAAGGAAATAGTGAATTTAGAAATGCTTAGGGTGCATTGCAATCAAGGGTCAAGCTCTGAATGTATATATTTGTGTGAACTCTTCCGATAGCCCTAACCAACCCCCAACCTCCCCCACCTCCCCACAAAACTACATGTATCTGGTTGTTGGCGGGCTGACTGTTTAAATATATAAACAAGGACATGCAAGTCTTGAGAACTATTTCTTTATTGATTAGCCTAAATGTCTGGGACAATCATTTCGAACAGACAGTCCAATATCAAACTACATGCAGCCGACTCCAGGTATCAGTTCACATTCTCACGGGTTGAATAAACTACCTTATGTATCACACGGGGAAACCTTACGTCAGTGTCATGATTTATCGTTCAAATGTGGGACAAACATGCCCCAGTTCAGTGACTGTGATGGGATAAACAAAAACACAGGAGCGTGCTCCTTTACCCATAGGTGGCACACTGCCATGTAAATATGCATTTATTTCGTATCGAAAACATCACAGAAATGTCATAAACCACATCTTCCAAAAAAAATTAAACAGCTTGAAAATTGTATTTATATTTTAGGCACAGATAATTTCAATAATTGATTGATGATACATTTCTGTTCGATTTCTAATAAAATATACTCAAATAATTGTAAACCTGTGATTTATAAATGATGTGGTTAGGTTATGAGAAGGTTTAATCAGTGTCATACTTGTCTAAATGCCGCCTGGTGCAAAGAACCCAAATTTGTATCCTCTCGTCAAGTTGTTAGTATATTTTCTTGGTAATATTTACAAATTTTTTTTAATGAATTGTAAGGCAAAAACAGGTTTGCATACATGAACAATTTTCTCAGCTTCAGCCCAAAGAAGAGTTGCCAACCATTGATACAGTTACAGTCAGTCAGTAAAGATTTTATATAAAATAATATTCCATATACGTTAGGACGCCTGTAAAAATAAGTAATTTTCTTACGGCTTTGGAAAATTAAAAGCCCAGTATGTTAAGCTTTTTAATATTGTTTGTTTTAAGATTGTATGAATAGAAGCAACAGAATTTAAAAGCTGATGCGATTACCAGGCAATACAGTATCACTAGACATAGTGACAATGTCACATTAAATAGATATGTATGCATAATTGAGATATAATCATACGCCTCGGATATTTATTTGCTTTTAGCTCATTATTAATACGAAATTAAAATAAAACTCGAGTCTGTAAAATATGTTTTTGTCCGTTATGATTTGTCAGATTGAGTTATTAGTCTGGAGTATAATTTATTATTGAGTTGGCAACGTTTGTTTTTAGTCAGAAAAAACACAACCTATGGGAAAAGTCTACGATTGACATTGAATTTTTTTAACTTGAAAAGACAGACGCTGCAACATTACACGCAGTCAGAGGAGTCATTAATGTTGGTGCAATCGTGTGTGATGAGCTCATGGTGACACCTCCTCAAGACTTCCGAATCTAATTTTAGGTGATGCCTTGCACTTATAAAACGCTGCTCAGGTTTCAACATATTATTGTATTTAGCTACGAACAGCCAAGAAAGGATGCCTGTTAAATTTTAACGTTTCCATTTCAGTGTAGCCCCATATTGACCAGGCGTTCACTTAAAGAAATTGACCAGCTATCCAAAGTATGTATATATTAATTGCATTACATTTCCTTTACATCGCACTTTCTCTGTTTAAATCCTATTATTACAATACTTACGACCAATTTGATCAACACCTCTAAATTTCTACTGGTTGCTGGAGCTTTAAAAAAATAATTAAAAGTTCATTTCATAAGGTTTGCGAAAATCTGAGGGTTAAACTATAAGGGTAATTTGAAAATTAGTTCCAGATTCGTTCCAAAAGAAAAATTAGAAGCAAAAACCACACTTAAAGATAATGTGATAATCTTATTTTCTTATGTTTCTCTAAAGAAATTTCAGCAACAGGGTAGTAAATGGCAATGTTGGGCCACAATATTGGGGCACCAATTTAATGTAAAGCAGGGGTCACCATTCAATTTTACTGCTGAAGCAGCATCTTTTAAATCAGTAATTGGTGGGAATTAAACAGATTATGACGTGTAGAACTGTTCAAAATTAAAGTTTGTTTTTCGGCCCAAAAATAAAGGCTTTTTTTTACAATTGAAGAGCACGAACATTGTGTGGATTGCTATTATTTTTGAATGGATTTTATTTTTTTAAATTCATTTAGTTATCACGTTGAACTTTCAAGTTCGTCAAGACAAGACGAACAATGATAAATAATTAATAATCAAAATAATTATGCAGCAAGTATTTCAACAAAAAAAACAAATGCATTTTTTTTTTAAATTCCAGAAGTATATTTAAATAGGATTATGATTTGCTGCCACCTCTAAAGTGCTACCCTGGGTGATCTCTTCATCCACCCCACCCTCCCTAAGCTGGCCACTGGGTTTAGCTGATTAGGGAGCTTGATTATCTATAAAATATTTATCAAATTAAAACTAATGGGGCTAAAACACGTTTCAATATTAAATGCACATACTATTTCTGCAAAAGGAAGTGTATCAATCACTTCTATTCGAAAATTAAAACTTCTATTTACTTCAAACTATATAGTCAGGAAAGCAAATAAAAGTTTAGTTTAATGTGAAGTGCTTTAGATCTTAAAACCACCCCTTCAATATACAAATTCACTTACCCAAAGGAAAACAGGAAACCGACAAAACGAAAAAGATGAGATATTTCATTTTACGTTGTTTGGCTTTCTAGGTGATTCAAAGTCTCTTCTGTGCCGCACGTCTCCACGCCAATGGTGTCTCATTAGTTTATATAGCCGAGTGAGTTTAATGACGTATTCAATCATTCCATTTACCAGAAAGTTCTTTCCTTGTTTGGTCACGGTAGCTATGGTGATAATATCATGCTCTATACACAAAAAATGCGATTTTAATGACTTGTAAACGAACGAGCCACTCTTTTAATTCCTGTCAAGTATAATGTGGTTTCGGAAAAATTTCATTGGATGTCTCCATTAGAAACCATAACAAACAGTTTTCGTCACACGCCCCTATCTTTCTCCTCACCTCCCCAACCTTACACTGACTAGACATTAGCAAATACTTTAGTCTTTCCCTCACACAAACTCCTCGTGTGAAAGCAGGGAAAGGTACGCCACGTGGTATAACGCAAACGTCTGAAAATCACATCGTGTGTGTTGGGTATTGCGGGAAGTCGGCACAGACCTAATATTTAAAGAGGCCTTAAATTTATTCATAAATAAACGCAAGTTGCATAACACAAACTTTTAACTTGACTGTCTTTGCACATAGAGAATATTAGCTTTGCATGATTGTCACAACACATGACACAATGCAATATGGAGTCAGGTTTTCCGACAAAAAGCAGTACCCAAAACTATGTTCTTAAGCGAGTTGTTATTTATGCTTGATATACAGTAAGAATGATGGAAAAAAACACAATATTGTTAATAAAAATCTTAAGGTGATCAGTTTACAATAAAACCCTGGACCAGTGGTCGTCTATTCGCGTTTTATCACAACTTGGTACATCAACGGGAATAGGAAGAGGTGCCGAAAAGGTTCTTGTGACAAAGGGAGACAGGGTTTTTTTTGCGGTCCACTTTATATAATTTAAAAAGCTTATTTTGTATGCATTTTCCTTTTATTTTCTAGTATTCGTTCATGAGGGTAGGCAAACTTATGGGAGACTACCTGATTAGCGATTTCAAATCCAGTAACCAGAAATCCGGTTAACATTTAGCATTGTTATTTTATCTAATGTAATTAAGTGAATCATTTCTTAATGTTTATGCTTGTATGCTTTTAATGTAGTTGAAAGTCAGGGGTCAATTAGGAATTTTCTTTAGCCAGGATATAGAAAAAATTAGGGCTGAGTGTGAGAGAATTGAGGCATTAGTTCTGAATGTAGGTGTAACAAATTGTAGTTATGAAGATTTTCATTGGACATGGAGACGGAAAATATGACCTTCAATAATGCATAAGATACAGATTTGTGTCCTAGACAGCAGGTGTATTGTGATAATGTGAAGACCGTAGATTGCGTTGTACAAAATGTGGAAGCTGAGAAAGTACTAGATTGGACTGTTGATAATATAAGGGATGTAGCTTTAAAAACTTAACTGCACAACATGAGGGTTTCTATATTGTACAACAGGAAAATTGTGTTAGTGTACAAGAGGGATTTGAGGCTTTTAAAAAGCAAGGAGATGTTGGTTTGGTGCAGGAGGGAGATTTTAATAATTTTGTGGTTTTGGAGACGCAGGGTGCTCGAAGATTGTGAACCCTGGTGGTGCTGAGATTAACTTTTTAAATACGGATTTTGTACTTTACGTGAAGGAGGTGAGTTTTTCAATGAGTTGGGGGTAGAAGAGGAATTTGTTTGGGTGATCATTGTATGATATATTTGATTTATTATTTCATGAAAGCAAGGAGTGTTCAAAGAATTTAAGTTTGTTAAAGGGTTTTATTTTCTTGAGAAGGTGTCTTCCATGAGTTAGGAGGGGAGGTAAATGATGTTTTGTCATTTTACATGCTTTATTTCAAGACAGCGGTCATTGCTTTGATTGTTTTCATTGCCCTGATTGTGTTTTTTGTTACCATATGGATGATTTCGATATTATTATATTTAACAATTTAAAAGTGAAAATATTTCATTTGTTAGTCGACAGTGTGTCAAAAGGACAACGTATAACGAACCAAGAGAGAATTGACAGGGGAGAGTCGAGCTACGGAAACAATGTGCACGCTGTTCCTTAGGCGACTGACAGACGTAATATCCCGCCCTCTTTACATGGGAATGTCTCACAGGACATTTTAGGCATGTCCATATGAGTTCATTGGTGTTGATATTTTTTTCCCACTTGCACGCACAGTTCGTTTTAGGTTCACTCTCTGGTTGTGGGACAATACTTTTTGTTGTCAATGTTATATTTTTTTCCTATTTCGATGAGAGTATGAAATCTAAATTGAGTTTTGGTAAATTAAATAAGTCACTTGCTCTTAAATATAAGTATGTCAATATTTAACGCTGAAGTCTGTGATATTTATGATGTTGTTTTGAGAGATGCTTACAATTTGTGATATTATTCCTGTGAGTGAAATCAATGTTTTAAATGTATCTCATTGAAAGTGGGGATATTAATGACTTTTGTATGTTTTGTTATTGCGTGTTGGTTGGAGAGTATTTGGGTAGATTTTGCTATTAAATGTTTGGTATTTTGTGACGTATTTTGTGTAAGGGGAAATGTCATATTGTTGAGTAGTGTGTGTGATTGAGCAATGGCAGCAACTGACAATGTAGTTTAGTTGTGCAGTCAATAGAGATGCTTTATTCTATGAATTCAATGGTTTGTGTAGTTACTATATCTCCTAGACAAACGGAGCTATTGAACCTGGTAAGATCCGGTTCCTAAAATAAAGTTTTATAATCGTGTTAACTAAAAGAGACTAAATTGAACTTTTTTCAAAATTAGAAAGCTGTATTTTTTCCAGGTCAAGTTGAGGATTCTTAGAATCTGATGGATGACATAAATGTGAAATCAAACGCCTAACGGTAAACCTTTTATGTCAACTATACAGCCTTGTTGCTTGGGATAGTTAGCCCCTTTTGTAGCACACACTCAAGCTCGCTTTCAGTGTGCATAATTCACAACCTAAGATATTTTTGGCTGCCGTCCATGGTTTGCCTTGTAAATTTTATGTGGTGGGGTGGGTGAATATACATTGCTGTTCTTTATTTCATAAATGTATTTTATTTTAATGTCATGATTATGTCTCTTTTGAACAAAAATTTTTATGTACAGGGCGGTGAGCCCAGCCCTAGGCTGGAGTACCGCTCTATATAAGGCCGCTTATTATTATTATTATTATTAGTATTATTATTATATACTAATACATATATAAATACATATACAGATATATTTTCTCAGACATATTCTAATAATACCTATAAGGATACATTGGCCTGATACATACACTAATACCTGTACGGATACATTTAATGATACATGTACTAATAGGTATCAGTTACATTTACTGATACATAAACTAAACCTATACAGGTACAAGAGCCGTTCTGATGATTTTGAGGGGCCCTAGGTATGGAGCGTAGGTAGGGTCCGCGAAAGGGGGGTTCGGGGAACGAAGCTCCGCCGGAACTGAGAGTAAACAGAATTGTCAAGTTGCAAAATAGACCTCAGACGTGAGATTTATATCCCACTACCCCTTTCCTCGACACTGTCTGTCCGACACATTTTCCCCAACATTGACAACACTTCATTGACGTGTAAAATTTCCGACACCATCTCTCTGCGGATATAATAAGTTTCCTTACTTTCTCTTCCCGACATAAATAATTGTTTGACATCCGCTTTTCCCAACGAGGTAACAAATGTCGGTGTTGTCGGATAATGCAAGTTCTTCTTCATGTTATGTTGGTTAAACAACATCTTTTCTTTGCTTGCGGCTGCTGTACAAACACATGTGTGACACTAAATGCTATAATATCCCTCTCTGACGATTGAAAAATTCCTTCCCCAGATCCTATAGTCTAAGAGAAACGCTGAATTTAGGTATACTCCAAAATGCACAGTTTGATTTTGAAATAATCCACAATCTGCTGGCTCCCCAGACCCCCCCCCCACCATCTTTCTCAATAGCCAACAGTACCCTTAACTTGTGCCATTCTTCACTAATAATATTTGACAGAACAGCTGGCACTGGTCATAATTTTTGGTGATGGTAGATGCAATACCTAGTGGAGTAGCTAGTGTTTGTCCTGATAGATACAAAACCTAGTGGAGTAGCTAATATTAGTACTGATAGATGCACTACCTCGTGGAGTAGCTAATTTTGGTGCTAAGATACACTACCTAGTGGAGTAGCTAATGATAGTGCTGAAAGATGCACAACCTAGTGGAGTAGCTAGTTTAGGGCAGATAGATACACAACCTAGTGGAGTAGCTAGTTTTAGTGGTGATAGATACACAACCTAGTGGAGTAGCTAGTTTTGTGCTACCCTGATCTTACCAAGTTTTATTCCACGCTCCAATTAACGATACATACATTGATTTTGTCATGAAATCCTGCCCCTCCATATAAAGAAAAAAAGTGTCATCTTGGCTGAACACTCAACTTGTCTCACTTGCAGAGTCGCAACTGCAATGTTAGGCACCAGGGGAAACAAATTCATTCTCACTCACCCCTCTCCCCCCCCCCCGAAAGTCTGAAACGGCCCCCTGTGGTAAATTCTCTGAAAGAAATTCTTGGCTGAACACTCAACTTGTCTCACTTGCAGAGTCGCCACTGCAATGTTAGGCACCAGGGGAAACAAATTCATTCTCACTCACCCCTCTCCCCCCCCCCCCGAAAGTCTGAAACGGCCCCCTGTGGTAAATTCTCTGAAAGAAACACTGATTATAAGGAAAATAGCAATAACTTCCTGTACCAGGCTACGGAAAAGACTGACAGGCGAACATAGGCCCGAAGCTTGAGTACGGCCCATGACACGGTCTTGTGTGATTTGCAGCATCACAACAAAGTTTAAAAAACAGGGCTATTTAAAACAAAATTCCTGTCTAAGGAAAAATATGAATCTATTTCCTGGAGTTGTGATTTTAAGCACGAAACTCGCTTTTTACAGATTTTTTTTCACTCATTACTATTAATATTAAACAAATGGAGTTTGGCGATGGCCAAGGGGGTTGAAGAGGAAGCAGGACGCACCAGAAGCTAAAAATATACAAGTGGTAATAAAAAAAAATTT